AGTTGGTAGCCCAATCACTCTGCGTCAGAGGAAGACATCCTGGATTCTGCATGATGAAAAAGGACCCTAAGAATGGATAAGTTTCCCCATATCTATATAATACGTAGATACTGTAACAGGAATTGGTGTACAGGATACACCAGCTGTAGTTAAGATTGACCAGCAAGAACTTCGTCTGCTCAGTCACTACACTTTAGAGTAATAAACAATAAACCTTGAATTCAATATAGTGCCTTATCACGTCATGGAGACACCACAAAGTGCTTCACAGGATATACTGCAATGTGCAGTGACCGTGATTTTGTGGGCAAACGTGGCAGCCAGTTTGCGCACAGCAAGGACTCTAAACAGCCATGGAGTGAATGATCAATTTTCACTCCAGTGCAATTATTTCTATGCCTATTGCTACCTCGCTCTCTCTCTCTCGCTCACTCGCTGCCTCGGTGTCTAACACTGTCATCGTGGTGCTATCAATAAAGTACAATAAACCTCACATAAGTCATATCAGTTGGAGCCATACACTTAATATAACTCAGGCAAAGTATGAGTTATGTCAAACTTGCAAAAGTATAAACTCTCAAATGGGACTAGTGCAGATGTAAGATTTAGGCGATTACACAATTTATATAGATCAGACTTATGCAGATTTTACTGGAGCAGTTTTTCACTGTGTTTGCACAGAGCTGTTGGATTCATTATCTGCACTGAGCCGATCGATGCTGTGGCAATGGGCTGCATCAGTAAAAGCAGAGATGCCCACTGCTTAATTATAATGTTAATTATCCAGCAATTACCTGGAATTGCAGCATTTATTTTTGATGAGGACAAGCAAAATCTGCTGAGCTCACACTGCAATTTATTGTAAAATGTATGAGGTTACAGTTGGAAAATCTAGCCATGCCTTTGTACGCTTACAGTAGCAGAGTTACTGGGCTGAAATTCCGGTTGGCATTTACAATATATTGCATGGAGTCCTATAGCTTAATATTTGGAGCGCTCACCTCGCAAGCGAGAAGACCCAGGTTCGATTCTGGGCAGGGCGAAACCTGAGACAAGTTTCCTTACTCCACATGCTTCTGTTTACCTAGCAGTAAGTAGGAAACCGGTTGTTAGCTGATTGGCGGATGGCTTTCCGGGGTAATAATCCCATCAAAAAAAATTGTGGTCATTCAATCCACGACTGTCTGTGGGACATTGCTATGCATAATTGGCTGCCACGTTTCGCCCAGAAATACAGTCATTTTACAGTATATTCTGTGAAGCGCTGTGAGACATTTCAATGACGTGATAAAGCGTTATATCAAATGCGAGGATTATCCTTACACTTGACCCGGATATTCTGTGAAGAGTTTTGAGACATCTTCCTTAGATGAAAGGCATTATATCAGATGCAAGGATTATTATACGCAGGTCATACACAACAAAAGTTGGGTGGATCCTATCTTGGATCCTGGCATATGTTCGCAATGTGAATCTGCATACAGAAGGTTGAAAGCAAGTGGGATTCATTGTAGCGTATTCCAAGGTTATTCCTCAGCCACAATGGTGAAATCTACAATGGTAAATCACAGACATTGATTGAAAACTCTTAATCCCCTAAGAATGCAGCGTTAAAAAAAGTCAATGTTTGTAGCACCAATGACGTTTGAACGATTCTAAGCACTTCACAGGGAATTGCTGTCAAGTGTAGTGAAAGCATTTGTAGGCAAACCCGTCGGCTGATTTGCACACAACAAGGTCCCCAGAAAGTGGAGGAAAACATATGAGTAATTTATGAGGAGGATTGTCAGCCGGGGAGAAACAGTCTGTTTGTTTGAATAGTTTCACAGGATCTTTAAAGTCCACTTGAGTAGGCGAACAATGGACCTCAGTTCAATGTCTCGTATGGAATCAAAGGACCTCTGAAAATGCACTGATCTACTTGTAATGTGCTGGAGGGACATTGCAGTGCACAAAATTGGCTGTCAAGTTCCCCTACAAAATACACAGTCACTACACGTTATATAAATCCTGTCAAGCTCTTTGTGTGAATGGCAGAATATTCAAACGGAAGGGTTATTATTATTGTTATTATGATTATTAAGGCCAAATATTTCAAAGGGTAAGACTACTGTAATGGGAAGGGAATAAGAGATTGATGTTTTAGAAGGATGTGATTGAAAGGGCCAAAGGGTCTTATTCATCCAAACTACTTGCCTTCATCATCTCTGTCCTTTTACCCACAAATATGCGGTCAATTCACTTTACAACATATTCTGTGAAGTACTTTGAGACGTCTAGTAGATGTGAAAAGCGCTATATCAAATGCAAGGATTATTATTGCAAAGCGGTCCCTCACCAGCACCGTTTTCTTCCACCTCCGATGCATCGCCTGTCTCTGCAAATACCTCTCTCCGAAAGCCGCAACCCTGGTCCATGTCTTTGTCACCTCTCGCTGGACTATTCTAATGCCCTCCTCGCCGGCCTCCCATCCACTACCATCCATAAAATCCAGATTATTCAAAACTCTGCCGCCCGCATTCTCACCTGCACCAAACTCCGCTCCCCGATTACCCCAGTCCTTGCCAGACTGCACTGGCTGCCTGTCCCAGAGAGGATCGACTTCAAGATCCTCACCTTTGTATTCAAATCCCTCCACTTCTCTGCACCCCCCTACCTCTCTGACTTCCTCTCTCCTCAAAACAGCATCCGCTGCCTTCGTTCCTCTGGGTCTGACCTCCTCCTTGTCCCCCGAGTCCTCCACTCCACCCTCGGCGGCCGTGCCTTCAGCCACTATGCCCCGAGGTTCTGGAACTGCCTTCCTCACTCCCTTCGCCTCGCCCCCTCTCTTCCCATTTTCAGATCTCTGCTGAAGACCTTTCTTTTCGACCGCGCCTTTGGTCACCTCCCTCCCCCTAGCTCGGTCCCGGGATCCGTTACTGGGAAGCGCTCTGAGACGCCGTCCGGCGTGGAGGGCGCTATATGAATCCAAGTTGTTGTTGCTGTACTACGTTGCCCGATGATATCTAAATATAAAAGTAATGATAATGCTTACATTTTATATTGTGTCTCTCATCGTAAGAAGATGTTTGTAAGAGCTTCACAAGATTTACTGTAAAGTGTAGTGCCAGGTTATTTTGTATGTGAACGGAGCAGCCAATTTGGACGCAGGAATGTCCCACAAACAGCCATGAAGTGAATGACCAATTTTTATCTGGGGGGGAGTTTTTGAACAGGGCACAGTAAGAAACTCCCTTCTCTTTTCGAATAGTGCCATGGGACCTTTAACGTCTGCCTGAACAGACAGACGGGAACTTGGTTTAGTGTCTCATCCGAAGGACGGCACCTCCAACAATATAACACGCTCCCAGCACCACTCTGGAGTGTCAGCCTGGATTCTGAATTCAAAGCCTTGAACCCATAGTCTTCTGTCTCAGAGGGGAGAGTGCTTCTGAGTGAGTCAGGCTGGAACCCACTTCATCAAATGTAGATTGCCTTCACAAGGACACCCACTTCTAACACGGGACACTAAGTTTGACCCAAACAGATGACACAAATGACGGCAAGCCCTGTATCGCATTCTCAATCTGTTCTTTATCGGCAAAATGTATTTTGCATTGATGAATAATTCATTTAAACCTTTGGTAGTTTCTAAATTGTATGAGGTATCGATTCCCTCCCAGAAAATTCTTCCCAGCTCCGATTTGTTTTATTGTCTCTGTTTATTTGTTGATATGACAAGGCTGAAATGTGATCCCCTTCTGTTTTAAGCGATATCGAAGGGGTTGATCTTAATAAAAAGCAATGTAGGGAATAAAAACAATAAAAAGCAATAAAGCAATAAAAGCAAAAAATAGGTACGACGTGAAATTGGAAATGAGGAACCACAGAGAATGAAGGTGCACACTATGATTTCGATATGGATATGGTTGAAATCCCCCTGAGGCAGCTCATCCAATCTGGGTCGCAAGTGTCCTTGGCACGCCTGCGTTAGAAGCAACCTAAATCAGTGAGATTTCCCATTCCTGTTCTCTATCCAGGTTCCCTAATGGAACAAATGTGTGTGGACATCGGGTGATGTCTCCACCGACTGTGACATTACTGTATGTATCTTATAGTGGAGTCCTCCAGCTCAGTGGTTAGAGCACTCGTCTATCAAGCGAGAGACCTGGGTTCGATTCCCGGCAGGGCGAAACATGGGCAAGATTCCTTACTCCACTCACCTGGTAATAATCCCTCCAGAAAAAAAAACAATAATAAGTTGGTCACTTGAATCCACGACTGTTTGTGGGACACTGCTGTGCAATTCGCTGCCGCATTTCACCCCCACATATACTGTCAATACAGTATATTCTGTGAAGCATTTTGAGATCTGGAAGACATGAAAAGGCGCTATATCAAAAGGAAGGATTATTATTATCGTATTATTGTTACAGCCCAAAGCGACAGCCAATTTGTGCACATCTTGGTCCCGCTGACAGCCGTGTCGTGAATGACCAATTTTATTTGGGGCATTGGTCATCAAGGCACTGGGAGAAACTTCCTTTTCTTGTTCAATAGTATCCACAGGATTATTAGCATTGAGTCAGACAGAACTTCAGTTTATAATATCTAATCTGGAGGACGGCACTTCCGATAAAGGAACAACGCCCCCCCACCCCCACGAAACACAAAAACACATACACACACACATACGCACACACCACTCCCACCCTGTTGCTCCACTGGAGCATCAGCTGGGATCTCAACGTGGGGTTCTGAGCAACCAATTCTGTGACCCGGAGACGAGAGCGCTACCAGTTTGAGCCAAGCTGACATCGCAAATGAGCCTCTTGAAACCTCACTGAATGTAGAAGGAATGAGGATTTATCGAGAGGAGCAGGGAGGAGGAATAATTAGCAGGGAATAGCTCACGTGTTCTGTTTGTGTAACAATTGTTGGAACATCATGAATTATACGTATTGACGAACCAATTTAAGGCCCAGTGTGCAACTAAACTGCTCTTTCATTGCCTCATTCAGGTGTCAGATGTGACGTTAATATCAATGAATGCAGGTCCGCTCCATGCCTCAACAATGGAATATGCATCGACGGCATCAGCCAGTACGGCTGTGTCTGCCCGAATGGTTTCATCGGAGCGAACTGTGAACACGACAGGGACGAATGTGCATCTAACCCTTGTCTTCACGGCGGGTAAGTGCGGAACACCAGGTCTTTCTGGCTTCACATGTGGGAGGCGGCTTGCTGATGGGAAATCTTGTCTTCTGGCGTTTTCTACATGTATGAGACCTGTGCTACTAGTGTCGGATGTCATTACACCGTATTTCAACAACATTTGACATAGCGCCTATTTGAGATGTCTCAAAGCGCGTCACAGGATATATTATAAAGTGGGTTGAGTGTGTATTTTGTGGGCGAAACGCAACAGGCAATTTGCGCACAACAGAGTCCCACAAACAGCCGTGGATTATATTTGGGGTTTTATTGACTAAATTACATTTAAATAGTGCCTTCACATCGTGAGGAATTCCCAAGCTGCTGGGCAGTCAGGAATTTGGACCCGAGCTGGGGGTTGGGATAAGGAGAGGTGGAGCAAGAGCAGAGAGGATAGGGTTAGGAGGATGACTGAAGTCGCCAGTCGGAGAGGGGGACCATGTGTTTCAGTCCACCATGTGTTATGTTATGACCTCAGTAGCTACCTTATGTCGCAGAAATGCTGAGAGTTGACTCAGTGCTGGCAAAATGTAGCTCTCCCACTTCTGATTCAGAAGGTTGTTGGTTTCAACTCACGTCGTCCAGGCTGAGGCTCCAGTGCAGTGCTAGGGTTAGGGTTAGGGACATTGTCAGAGGTGTCGTCTTTCAGATGAGATGTTAAACCCATCTGCCTGTTCAGGTGGATGTCAAAAGATGTCTTGGTCACTGTTCGAAAAGGTGCCACTATTCTCCAGGTGTCCTGGTTAAAATTCACTTACTTCATTTGTGGGGCATTGCTGTGTGCAAATTTCGACTGCAGTGCTTGCGTGCGTAATAAGCAGTCAGTACATTTCACGGCGTGAAGCTCTTTGAAACATCTTTTGATGATGTGATAAGGCGCTATACCAAATGAAACGATTATTATCTGCTTACCCCCCACTCCACCTCCTGTTGCGTCCTCTCGGCTGGCTCCAGACTCCTGCTCGTCCCTCATCCCCTCCACTCCATCATTGGTGGCCGTGCCTATGAGCACTACGCCCCAAAACTCTGGAGCTCTCTCCTTCAATCCCTCCGCCTTGCCCCCTCCCCACTTTCAAATTCCACCTAAAGACCTTCATTTTTGATCCTGCTTTCGCTGACGTCCCACCTTCCTCTCCCCTTGGCTCGGAGTCACATTGCTGTGCGCAATTGGCTGCCGCGTTCGCCCACAAATATACAGTCTATTCACTTCACAGTGTGTTCTGTGAAGCGCTTTGGGACATCCTCCCGACGTGAAAAGCGCTATATCAAATGGAAGGATTATTATTATTATTATTATAATCTGTGGTCTGGGGGCCAGAAGTGCCCCCCCAAAAAAAAATTTGTTGGCCGATCATAAAAGTTGGACACCAATGTGTTAGTGAACCTTTACACTGGAGAGGTTGTAACACGCAGAGCAGTGGATTAGTTGGTTATTGATTACAAGGCAACAATCTGAATGGAGAGTACTCTAGAGCTCCATGAACTCACAGAGCAGACATAATAATAATAATAATAATAATAATCCTTGCATTTGATATAGCGCTTTTCACGTCGGGAAGACGTCCCAAAGCGCTTCACAGAACACACTGTAAAGTGAATTGACTGTATATTTGTGGGCGAACGCGGCAGCCAATTGCGCACAGCAATGTCCCACAAACAGTCGTAGATTGAAAATGACCAATTTAATTATTGTTTTTAGTTTTGGAGGGATTATTATTGGGCGTGTGGAGTAAAGAAACTTGCCCAAGGTTTCGCCCTGTGCCTGGAACCCAAATCTCCCATGGCCCCGAGATTAGATTACAGCCCTTGAAACTGCTTCAGAGTATCTGCGAGTGTTTTCTCTTCAGTCCAGACTGTAAATTTTACAGGGCGGATTGATTTTGCTTCCGTCCTGACGGTGACTGTACGTACAGGAGACAGCTGGGCGCTTGATGCATGAGGGCATTCCCCTAGCCAAACATTAATGGTCCTGATGGTTTCGTGGCCCGTTTGTCAGGGTGTAATTGGCAGCTTATTACCAGTATATATTACTGGAGCTCAATGGGTAAACAGAGCCGCGAACTGCAAGGCTATTTCAACGGTGGATATCAGCCCTTGAAAGAGAAGAAAGGAGCAAGAGAAATATAGAGTCCATTACCCACTGGCCAAGTAGCAAAATAGCTCACGGGGAGAGTTAAAAAGATTAAGGTCCTTGACGTGACTTGCACTGAAATGAGCTTCTGTCAATTTGCACCGTGCAGTTTGGGCTGTTGAATGTGCTCTTAACTCGCTCCTCTATCATTGGGTTCATTATCGTTACTCTTCTCTGAACTGCCTCTTGGGCCTTGCAGCTCCCCCTTGTGTGGCAGAGTTGTTTCGAGGAGTGGGAATAATAATAAAAATAAATATTAGTGAGTACTGTAGCTTATCAGTTACAGCAGTCGCCTCGCAAGCGAGAAGACCTGGGTTTGATCCGGGCAGGGGGAAATGTCAGGCAAGTTTCCTTACTCCACATGCCTCTGTTTACCTAGTTGTAAGTAGGAACCCGGTTGTTAGTCGAATGGTGGATCGCTTTTCTAGGGATAATAATCCCTTCAAATAAATAAATGAATAAAAATAATAATATTTTTCACTCAATCCACTACTGTTTGTGGGACATTGCTGTGCGCAATTGGCTGTCACATTTCGCCCACAAGGTATACAGTCAATTAACTTTCCAGTGTATTCTGCGAAGTGCTTTGAGATGTCTATGAAGACGTGATAAGGCGCTATATCAAATGCAAGGATTATTATTATTATAAATTGTATTGTAAATGGGCTGACGGGCTTCCTTTCATCTGATCCAGTTTTGTGATTCAGCGGCTATTTTTGTTGCAGCCTGAACAGGAGATGTTTCAGAGGGGATCTTATTGAGGTGAATCAAAGCTGAAGTCAGTCAACAGATTGTCCACTGAAAACTACCAATTTCTATTCATTTCCATTCTTTCCACAACTACCAAGCTAAACAGAGGACCAAGTCAAATCTAATATTCTGTTTGTCTTCTAGCCTCTGTTGCTTCTCCTACTCTCCTCAACATTGCTGATTATTATTAACATATTATACATAGGAAATATATCAATCTACAAATTGAATGCAGCCGAATGTGTCAATATAAAACATAGTTCCTATAATCATCAGTCAACTGGGACTGTTAATAAGACTATTGATAAACCGCTTGACAAAATACCTGGTTAACAAAACATCAATCTCCTGCAAAAAATAGCTATTTTTATTAGGAAGCTCAAATATATTAAGAAAAGTAACATCCATTCATATGTGACGTGGCAGTGTTATTGGTCTGGCTGAGCCATCACTGAACACTATTTAGAAACTACCCCACAGAGTGATTTAAATTGGAATAACATTTGACATGGTACCTTATCATGTCATCGAGACATCTCAAAGCGCTTCACAGGATGTACTGTAAAGTGATGCAAATGTTTGTAATTTGTGGGCAAAACGTGGCTGCCAACTTGCGCACAGCAATGACCCACAAACAGTTGTGGAGCGAGAGAGTAATGTGGTGAAAATGGGAAGGGTGATCTGGTTCCATTCAGATTGAGGCAAGACAAGATTACCTAAGTCTTGAAAGGAGATGTTTCAGAGGGGATCTTATTGAGGTGAATCAAAATGCTGTCAAAGTCAAGCTAGTCCATGAGACCTTCTATTGGATAAACACTCGAAGAAAGGTCATTTTAAATTGTATTGGGAAAGTGCAGGGAAATAGGATTAGAGCTGCTAGCTTCAGTGGGGGATGCACCAGGACAGGAGAAAAGGACACAGGTTTAGAGTTCAAAGGGCAAATTTAGGACAAATACCAGAAAGGTTTTCTTTCGTCAAATGGTAATTAATGACCTGAACAGGTTTCCAGCATCAACAACAACTTGCACATATATAGCACCCTTTATGTCTCAGACTGCTGAAAGAGTGAGTGCCAGGAATGAAAAATATAGTTTGATGCTGTGATGGGGTGAGGTTGATGTCCTGGATGGATGATGTGCAGAAGGACCTTCTTGATCCAAACCAATCTTGAGATCTATAGTGCTGCAACACCATCAACTTGCAATTACATAGCGCCCTTCATGCTGGACAGCGTCTTGGAGCTCTTAACAGTGGTGCAGCCTGACGCCGAGCCGGGAAGGACGAGGTGACTGTAAGCACGGTTGAAAATGAAGGCTTTCAGTCTTGATCTAAAAGAGGGGAAGGAGGCGGCAAGGCCGAGGGATTGCGGGAGACAGTGCAATGGTACTAGTATATCAAGCGCCCCATGTTAAGTAACCATTTGTACCTGAAGAACACTGATTGTTCGCTTCGATAAGCATTGAATGAGAGAGGAGGGAAGAGATGGGAACAGGAGGGATGGAGACAATTGTGGAATCTAAATACCGGCAGGAACCAGTTGGGCTGAATGGGCCTGTTCCCGTGCTGTAACATCGCATGTAATTGCATGTAATTCCCATTGATTTATGGCCCATATGTTCACGCTGTGCTTGCCATTAAAATCCAAGCTTACTTGAATTGAATTCAAGACAGTCTTTGTACCTTAACAAGGATTTATTTTTGCGGAATGCTAGCTTTTTTATTCGTCGCTTGGTTTTACTTCATGATAAATTTATAAAGCCCTTGTGTTAAGTCTCTTGAGCATAATCATCATAATGCTAGGGTTTTTTTTTGCTTTCCTTCGATTCATTTATTGAAGGCAGTAATTTAAAAGATGACAGATGCAATGTATTGATACAAGCTGTTCTTTCATTCGGGCTTATTAGCATAAGGAGATTTTCAATAAATGGGGATTAATTAGATTTTAATACAGTCGAAAGTAGCACTTTGCCTGTTGCCGTAATTGACAGGTAGAAATGAGCTGACACATTCCAGAACCTATTGCTTCCAGCCTTTATTAATATTTTAAGCCAGCAGCTGAACAATCTAATTTTGTTTCTTTTTAAGAGGAGAGCAGCTTTAGCGGACTCAGCAATAGGAGACTGTCACTCTAGCTCAGCGGGCTGTGCACTGGGTCACAATGTGGCTGGCTCTGGCTCCGTGTGCGCACTGTGATTCACAGTCTAAAGGGATTTCTCCAGCCAACTCAGTAATGAGCCTCTCCTGCATCGCGGGTGAGATCCTTACCTTGCATTTGACGCAGCATCTCATCACGTCATTGAAAAATCTCAATGCGCTTCACAGCATTCCCTGACCCTCGTAGCAATCGTGTATTAGGCCAAACAGTTTCCTCACAGCAATGTCCCTACAAACAGCCATGAAGTGAATGACCAATTTTAGTTGGGGGATTATTGGCAGGCCAGGATGCCGGGAGAAACTATCTTCACTTTTTGAATAGCACCGTGGGGACTTTAGCACCCACCTGGACAGGCAGACTGAACCTCAGTTTGATGGCTCACCCAAAGAACGGCACCTCCAAAAATGCAGCAGCACCCCCAATACTGCATCTGAGCATCGGCCCAGACTACAATTCAACCATTTGCAGAGTCCCATAGCATAGTGGTTAGTACAGCCACCTCGCAAGCGAGAGGATCTGGGTTTGATTCCCAAGCAGGACAAAAGCTTAGGCAAGTTTCCTTACTCCACACGCCTCTGTTGACCTAGCAGTAAAGTAGGAACACCGGTTGTTAGTCAATTGGCAGATCGCTTTCCGGGGGTAATGCTCCCTTCCAAAAAAAACAATAATAATTTGGTCACTCACTCCATGACTGATTGTGGGACACTGCTGGCTGCCGCGCTTTTTCCACAAAATATACAGTCACTTCACTTTACAGTATATTCTGCGAAGCTCTTTGAGACGTCTCAACGGCGTGATAAGGTGCTACATCAAATACAAGGATTATTATTATTTCGGCCCCCAAAATTAAAACAAACTTTCACTCACATGATCTGCCTGTAGCCACATTGTAACGTTGCCATTAATCACACGTCTGTTTGTAAATTGGATCGCTACCTTCCTTTCAGCTCTGTAGAACTCTTGCATTGCGCTGCTGTGGCACAGACTATTGTTAGCCTTCCACCTTCCTTAAGCAGCAAGAGTTATGTCTTTGCAAACCATTGCTGAGGCTTTAAATTTGTTCCCTTGCTATGGTTTCGCACTGTACCAGCTCCATTAGCCAACTTGATGGTCTCAACATGTGAAGGGAATAAATATTGCACATGATTTCAGAGCCTGTATGCCATTGACGAGTAACCATCCTTTATTATCAACCTGTGCAACAACTTGCATCCGTTGCCTTTCCAATGTACTTTGTGAACAGGTTCTCTTTGCCTCATTTTGCCTGAAATAACATGACATGTACCATAATGGCCCGTCTGAACATTTTTCCTCAGATGCATCGTGCAGATTCAAGACATAGTCCATTAAGGAACAAACTCAGTTGCTATTCCAACACTATGTTGCCCAATACATAATGCACTCAAATTTCTGTAATACTCCATGTGTGGAGACTAAATTCCCATTAAACTTTCAGCGATTTGGGACGTCCTCCCGACGTGAAAGGCGCACTATAAATGTAATTTGTGTTGTTGTTAACCTTTGCTGATTTCTGTGCCAACATCTCACAGGCTGTCATGACCTTGTTGAGTTGTCAGCCTGGCTCAGTTAGTTGCAGTCTCGCCTCAGAGTTTAAAGATAGTGGCTTCAAGCCCATTTGTGGACCTTGAGCTCATAGCTAGACTGACACTCCAATAATAATTAATCCTTACATTTTATATTGTGCATGAGGACATCTCAAGGTGCTTCATAGGATTTACTGTAAAGTGTAGTGACTGGGTATTTTGTGGGTGAAATGTGGCAGTTAATTTGCACAGTCCTGAAGTGAATGGCCGGTTTTATTTAGGGGATTGTTGGTCAAGACACTGGGAGAAACTCGAAAAAAGTGCTTTAAAAGTACTTTATGGTTATGGTACATGTCATGTTATTTCAGGCAAAATGAGGCAAAAGAACCTGGTCACAAAGTAAAAACAGACAGTACCTCGGTTTAGCATCTCACTGGAGGAGCAACTGGGGGATGGTTGCACTGTTTGGGGGATTTTAAATGAAATTCAGAAAATAAACTCACAACAATTACTTTGAGATGCATCAAGACACCAGAATAAGAGGGTAATTAATGTCTGGAACAGGTGGAAGAGTGAGGTATGAGCAGGTCAGAGAGATAGGGAGGTGCTGTCGTGATTTGTATGTGAGGGTGAGGATGTTGAAGTCAATCTTTTTGTAGACGGGAGCCAGTGGAAACCTGGCAAGGGTTGGGCTGATGAGCAATATAAGTTTGAAACCTTAGAAGATTCATATCAGGTCCAAATCCTTTTTATACACAGATGGCCAAATGGAGCTCTCTCTCTCTCTCTCTCTCTGTTTGCCTTTCAGATGCATTGACTTAGTGGATGGATTTGAATGTCACTGTGAACCTGGATGGACCAGCTCAAGATGTGCCATCGACATTAACGTATGTTACCTTCTGTAAAGTTCATTTAAGGTTGAGTGGAATAAGGAAGCTTGTGGCTTCATACACAATAATATTAATAGTCCTTGCATTTGCATAAAAATAATCCTTACATTTTTGATATAGTGCCTTATCACATCATGGAGACATTTCAAAGCGCTTCACAGAATATATTACAAAGTGGATTGATTGTGTGTTTTGTGGGCGAAACGCGGCAACAGCCAATTGGACACAGGAGTGTCCCACAAACAGTTGTGGATCGAGTGACCAAATTATTATTATTATTTTTTACATATATATGTATAGTTAAATGGAGCGATACCGTAGACCCAGGCCATTTGACCTAGCTAGTTTGTGCAAGTGTTTACAATCCTCACAAGCCCTCTCCTAATCCCCTCCACTATTTTCTTCTGCTTCGTGTGTGATTTGGGTTTTCTCTCAAATACATGAAGAAGTAAGTTTCTACAAAACTCCCCATTAGATCTTCTACCCATTATCCTATACTTATGCCCTTCCAGTTTTGGACTCACCTACACATGGGATTTAGGTTTGCACAGCCGAGTGTCTGTCATATGTGGAAACCCGTCACCGTGTTGCTTAAGAGTATCCAAAACAAAATAACACATAAACCACCAACACATGGACATCAGGGATGGATCAGCGCACGTGCTTACAGGATCCATGGCCAGGGGTCCCAGCTAAATATAGGCTAGGGTACGGCAGAGACTGGAGCATACCTCCCAACATTCGGCCTGAGGGGAGAGGTCTTGGTGGAGGCGGGCAGTATTGCAGAGGTTGGGGGAAGTATAACAGGACATGGCCCAGGTACAAAACATCCCATATGTTTCAAACAAGCTTCAATAATATTGAGTTTAGGTGACAATTACACATATTTTAAATGAATACCTTTGCACCTCTGAACCCATTTCAATAAATCTTAAGCGGCATATCATAATCCATCAAAAAAAACAAAGGATTTTCCACTGTGGTCATTAATTGCACATCAAAGAGAGAGATTTAACACTGACTGAAGCCCGCGGCAATTTGTAAACGCTTGAAAAGATAAAAGAATCATTGAATACTAGCGATCTTTGGTAAATTCCCCAAGCAAATCTTCTAGCATATAAATCACACTGTATATTTACCAAAGAAAGTTACTAAATAAATTTGCAGCAAGCATGAATATGATAGTAGGAGAAGAATTCTCTGCAGGGTACAGGAATTGGACTTTGTGTATTTGTTTGTCACACGTTTTTGTTCCAGTCAGCCAGGTATCTAATACGTGCTGAAATGCAACATAATCAAAATGCCACATGTAGAAAATGCTACTGGTAGAACTCTCGAATCTGAGTCAGAAGATTGTGGGTTCAAGCCCCAAATTGAGACTTTGAGCTCAGATTGTCTAGTATGTTTGTATATTTGATGCAACACAACGTCAGAAGGACTTCTCAAAGTGCTTCACAGGATATTCTGTAAAGTGTACTGACTGTATATTTTGGAGGCAAATGAAGTAGCCAATTTGTGCAAAATGTCTCAGAAACAGCCAAGGAGTGAGCGACCAATTTTATTTGTGGGATTTTTGGCCAGGACACTAGAAGCAACTCCCTTCTCTTTTCTTGTAACATCTTTGGATCTTTAACCTCCATCTGAGCATTGCAGATAGGACCTCAGTTTAATGCGTCATTTGAAGGAAGGTAGCAGAGAGGATATCTTGATCTTCTTCAGGAATTTAGAAGGCGGAACATTGTTGCAAATGGTGCCTGGAAGGTGACGGGTTTCATAAAATCATGTAACTGCTCAAATTCTTTATTGAAACCACTGAAACGGTTGCGCTCACAAGAATAATTAAACTGAAGGGGGAGCCTGCAAGTCATTTCTTAAGAGGTGTGATGAGCGCATGAGATTCTCTGCTGCAGACCATTGTTGAGGTAGAGCCTGTGCATTATTTTAATAATATAATAATGAATAAATAAGAATACTCGTTGCAACTGAGTATTGCAACCTTGCAATAATCCCTCCAAAAAAAAACAATAATACATTGGTCATTTTCAATCCATGACTGTTTGTGGGACATTGCTGTGCGCAATTGGCTGCCGCGTTCGCCCAAATATAGTCAATTCACTTTACAGTATATTCTGTGAAGCGCTTTGGGATGTCTAGAAGACGTGAAAAGCGCTATATCAAATGCAAGGATTATATTATTATTAACCAGCGCATTGGGACGTCCTCCCGACGTGAAAGGCACTCCACTGTTGATATAGCATTTTATCACGGTGTTGAGATGTCTCAAAGTGCTCCACAGAACATATTGTAAAGCGGATTGACTGTGTATTTTGTGGGCGAAATGCGGCAGTGTCCCACAAACAGTCTTTGATTGGATGACCAAATTTTTTGGGGGGAGGGATTATTACCCCCGGAAAGCGATCCACCAATCGACTATCAACCAGGTTCCTCCTTACTGCTAGGTAAACAGTGACGTGTGGACTAAGGAAACTTGCCTAAGGTTTCACCCTGCCTGGAAATTGAACCCGGGTTCCTCTTGCTTGCGAGGCGATTTAGCTAACCAACATGCTATGGGATTCCACTGCAAGATTCCTTCCTTACAACAACAACAACTTGGATTTATATAGCGCCCTCCACACCGGACGGCATCTCAGAGCGCTTTACAGTTTCGGATCCCGGGGCCGAGCCAGGGGGAGGGGGAGGGGGGGGAAGGTGAACAAAGGCGCAGTCGAAAAGAAAGGTCTTCAGCAGAGACCTGAAAATGGGAAGGGAGGGAGCGAGACGAAGGGAGTGAGGAAGGCAGTTCCAGAGCCTCGGGGCAGAGTGGCTGAAGGCACGGCTTCCGAGGGTGGAGCGGAGGACTCGGGGGACAAGGAGGAGGCCAGACCTGGAGGAACAAAGGCAATGGGTACTGTTTTGAGGAGAGAGGAGGTCAGAGAGGTTGGGGAGTGCAGAGGAGTGCAGGGACTTGAATACAAGGGTGAGGTTCTTGAGGTCAATCCTCTCTGGGACAGGCAGCCAGTGCAGTCTGGCCAGGACTGGGGTTATCGGGGAACGGTGTTTCTTGCGGGTGAGAATGCAGGCGGCAGAATTCTGAATGAGTTGGATTTTATGGATGGTAGTGGAGGGGAGACCGGTGAGGAGGGCATTGGAGTAGTCCAGTCGAGAGGTGACAAAGGCCTGGACCAGGATTTCAGGTCCTTAAAAACGAATCACATAGATTCTGAATTATAAACCTAGAATGATCCTTGCATTTGGTACAGTGTTTCATGTTGGGACAAGGTCTCAAGGCTGGACAATATTTTACTGTAAAGTGTAAACTATGTATTTGTAGGTGTGTGGGATAGCCAATCTGCACACAGCAAGATCCCACAAACAACCATGATTCATTTTATCTGGGATTGCTCTTAAAAGAGCCAGCATAGACCCAATAGTCTGAAGGACACCTGAAGAAACTCCCTTCTCCTTCCGAATAGGATGATAGGATCCAGCTCAGCACCTTGGCTTAACATCTCATCCGAAGGACAACACCTGTCAATGCAATGCATCCCCAGTATTGCAATGGATCCCAGACCGCGAGCACAAAGTCCTGATCCACGGCTTTAACCCATAACCTTCTGACTCAGAGACGAGAGTGCTTCTGACTGAGCTAGGCTGACACTCTATCAATGCGTTGCCATGGAATTAGAAACTATGAATGTTTCATTTACATTGTGATTAAGCTGCATGATTACGACTTGAGCAGCTGCCAAAACCAGATTCAGCAGAAATAAGCCCAATTCAACAAGTAAACCAAATATTCAAGTAAATCTATGACTTGGGCTGTGCCCTCAATGGATTTTCAATGGGCTGGACTAACTCTCTTGAGTTGGCTTCGCTTTGTCTTCATGCAAGAACTACCTTGGGATTTTGCTACGTTTCACTCAATATAACATTGGGCTTCAAACTTCAAACGCATTAACAATAATAATCCTTGCCTTCGACATAGCACTTTTCACATTATGAAGATGCCTCAAAGCTCTTCACTGGATATACTGTAAATAACAATAATAGTAATCCTTGCATTTGATATAGCACCTTATCATGTCTTCAAGACGTCTCAAAGCGCTTCACAGAATATACTGTGAAATGAATTGACTGTGTATGTGTCGGCGAACACGACAGCCAATTTGTCAATTTGCAAACTGCAACAGCCCACGAACAGCCATGAAGTAAATCAGCAATTTCTTTAGGGGGTTTGTTGGCTAGGATACCGGGAGAAACTCCCATCTCTTTCCAACTAGTACCATGGGATGTTTATTGTCCATCTGAATGCCCTTCTCCCCTGTTGTTTACTCCTCTTTAGATATCTATCTAGTTCCCTTCTGAAAAGTAATATGGATTCTGCCACAATCACCGTTCTCAATAGAGCATTCCATATCCTAACTACTGATCCACCAACCAGTGGAAATAATTTCTCTCTATTGACGCCATCAAAACCTCTCATAATTTTAAGGATCTCGATCAGGTTTCCGCTCAACCTTCGTTCTCTCAATGGAAAGAGTCTCAATTCCTCCATTCTCTGCTCATGGACCAAACTTCTCATCCCTGCGTCATCCAAATAAAACTCCTCTGCACCTGTTATTTTGCCTTGAAGTCCTTCCAAAAGGTGGGTGGCCAAGATTGAATACAATATTCTATCTGTGGTCTAACTAACAACAAAGATACATTTTGCATTACCTCCTGTGGTTTTGTATCTGACTCCCCACCTGAACATTGAACCAGTTTGTTCTCTTCTCTTTCTTCCCTCCAACTCCATCCTCATCGCCACCCAACTCACATTCTGCCCTTCTCCAGATCTGCCTCCAAGCCCTTTATGATGTGGGGGAGGAACACAAGCAAAAGCAGATACTGTAGGTTGCAAAGTGCACTCAGTCAGTCCGCACTGTGAATAAAGATTTCTACATCAGATAACAGTGGAAATGCAATAATTCACAGCTTACTGCAAAATGCTGTGAATTTCAAAGTATTCCGGGTGGGAGGGATGAACTGTGGCACAGTTTACACGGTGCACAGGGAAGATCTTTACTCACCTCAACACCCACATCACCCCATTCCTTAATTAAAAAGGCCTCTGTCCTCTTCGCAAAACGAGATTGACTGGCATCGGAGTGTGAGGTGAATGCAGTAAATCTGATTTAAAGAGCAGAGCGCTGGACCGGTGGAAAGTGACCGATGGGGCTTGCAAAACAGGGCCATGTGGCTTCACATAAAGTCAGTGAATTACAGGCGAAAAGAGCCATCAAGTGTATCAGGGCTGCATAAGTCATGAGTGGCGCACAAGTGAAGGTGAGTTATATTGACCTCACAGCCAGAGATTTATTTTCTGTGATCTACCACCAACCTGATGTATTTTGTCCATGCAATAAATACTTACAGGCCTTTTGCTCGCTTGAATAAAAATGTTGCATCACTGTTACATTTCTTTTTACTAGAGACACTTCTGTGGTCAAGAGGGAGGTGATGCTTTATACCAGGGCTGGATGGGAGAGGGGAACCATAAAGATCACGAAGAGACATTTGAGGCCTATCACCCTCTGGCCTCCTGCTTGTCCCTCATGCCCTCTGTTCCACCAATGCTGGTCGCACTTTCAGCCACTACGTCCCGAAACTTTACAACACACTTCCTCTATTTGTCCCCTCATTTGCGATCTTCCCCTTCACTTTGCCCCCTCCTTCCTCATCTTCAGGTCGCGCCTGAAGACCTTCCTCTTCGACCGTGCCTTCGGTCACCTCCCTCCTGCTTGGCGTCGTGCTCTACCACTATCAAGCACTCTGGGACACTACCCTGTGTGAGGGGTGCCATATAAATGCAAGTTGTTGATGTTAGCTCTCCCCACATCGATTTCCACCCCCCCACCCAACACACTCCTCCGTCCACCACTGACATGGTCTACTCTAACCGTGTTCTCATGCTCTGTCTCTTGTCTCCGTGCTGACAATCTCTCCCGCAAGATCAGAAGATCAGTTGAGATGAAGAAGGCCTTTTGTTTTATCTCAACCATTCCAGAATACAACAGCAGCAGCAACAACAAATTGCATTTACGTAAAGCCTTTCAACTTCGGGAGGACATCCCAAGGCTCTGGACGATGAGGAGTTTGCACTCAAGCTGCAACGGAATGTCAATTTACCACATTCTCCCAGTCAATCCACTTTACAGTATATTCTGTAAAGCGCTCTGAGACGTCTCAACGACATGTAAGACGCTATATCAAATACAAGGATTATTATTGTTCTATGAGTTCCAGGTCTCAACATGGGGCTTGAATCTACAACCCTCTGCCTCAGAGGTCAGAACGCTATCAACTGAGCCAGGCTGATACACGATAGGAGAAGTTCACCTCTCAGCAACAACTAAATGGATGTACTTGGGGGTGGTCAGTCCCAGTGGGCAAGTTATTTCATCTTAAATTGTGAACATAAGGTTCGCAGAAGCTAATCCCACCCTTTCCATTGTAGGTTTTAACTCGATGTACACAGATATTTTCCTGGAACCCCTGAAAATTATTTACAAGCCCTGAATAATAATGTTAATAATAATCCTTGCAAGTGATGCAGCACCTTTCACGATGGGCAGTGTAGTAAAGTGTAGTGACTGTTACCGTCAGCAAGGAGTTACAGGATGGAGGGGCATGGTGGTGGGGAGTGGGGCGACGTAAAGGGACTGTGGGTCACAGTCTGCAGTTATCAGCTGTTTAAGCTAGTCATTATGCATTCCTTCCTCCCCCTTTTTTGATAATAAACATATTAATTATTCAATTGCAGGTTGATTTATTTGTTTCCAGATCATCATCCCTTTCTCAAGGGGTGGATTTATTAATTTACGTCCTCGCTGGCTTGTGATCGAGGTGGATGTGAAGGAACCTGCCATGCCCTATCTCCCCTCCCCCACCCCAACCCCCTCCTTTGGAGATGTGTTGTAAAATGGTTCTAATGTTACCTTGATACCGAATCCACCTCCTGAGTTTCATTCCTTTAACATTACATTTAATGATAATCTGCGAATTTGATACAGCATTTTATAATATAATAACAATAATAACCCTTGCATTTCAATCCCACTCCCCTGTTCTCTCCCCATAGCCCTGCAAACTTGTCCTCCCCAAATAATTATCTACTTCTCTCTTAAAAGTTGTTATTGAATTGACTTCCACCAGCCTTTCAGGCAATGCATTCCAGATCCCAACAACTCGCTGTGTGAAAAATTTCTCCCCTCCCCTCTGTTTCTTTTAACAACGCTTTTCACGTTAGGAGAACATCTCAATATACTCCACAGAATTTACTATGAAGTGGAGTGACAGTGTGTTTTGTAAGCCAATCTGGTAGCCCAGTTGCCCACAGCAATGTCCCACAGACAGCCATGAAAAGAATGGCCAGTGGTATTTGAGGTCTTGTTGGTCAGGACACCAGGGGAAACATGGATTTCTTTTTGATTAGGCCATGGGATCTTTAATGTCCACCTGAACAAGCAGATGCAACCTCAGTTCAACATCTCATTTAAAGGATGGCGCCTTCGGCAATGGAACGCACACCCAGTATTGGCATTGGAGCGTCAGCCTAGACTATGTGAGTTCCTGACGTCAGGCCTTGAACCTACAACCTTCTGACTCGGAGGCGAGAGTGCTATCAACTGAGCTGGGCTGCCTCAAAATATTTAACATTCATGGGGAGCTGTAGCTGTGAGGAAAACGACAAGCTGATTATGATAAAGATATCCTGTCTGATTAAATTTTGACCTTTAGCAAGCAGTTATAACTAACCTTCTGGGATGAAGCATTTTACAGCGGATAAAGTAACCTTTTTTTTTTTGCCCGTACAGATACATGATTCAATTAGCTTTATGTTGCACTTTGTCTTAATTCAACCACAGGAGTGTCTAGTTGGCAGTCATGATTATGTAGGGATTATTGTTCAAAAAATGACATTCCGGCAGAATTTCCCCACGGAAAATTTACATCTACATTTCCTGAAAAATAACTGCAATTCCTGATTAAAATCGCTGCAGGCTTCCAGGACTGTAATCTCCAGTAGCGTCCTGCAGTCCATTGGTTAGGGCACTCGCCTTACAAGCGAGAGGACCCGAGTTCGATTCCCGGGCAGGGCGAAGCCTTTGACAAGTTGCCTTATTTCACAGGCTTCTGTTTACCTAGAAATAAGTAGAAACCCGGTTGTTAGTCGATTGGCAGATCACTTTCTGGGGGTAATAATCCCTTAAAAAAATTATAATAATTTGGTCACTCAATCCACAACTGTTTGTGGGACACTGCTGTGCGCAATTGGCTGCCGCTGTTTGCCCACAAAATATACACTCAATTGCCATATATTCTTTGAAGCATTTTGAGACATTTCAGCAATGTGATAAGGCACTATATCAAATGCTAGGATTATTATTATTATACATTGCTCTTCCTTGCCCTAACCCTGCCGGATAACTCGCAGCTGGCAGGGCATGGCTGGAATTGTTTTTGAGAAGAGAACCTGACACACTCAGTTGAGGGACAGGAAAAAACAAATAAGAAAACATTAATTACCGACCTATGCAGCTTCTAAATTCTGGAGGCTGTGCAACACGCGGAATGAGATAATAATAAATAATTATAATATTAATAATAATGCTTTCATTTAATATAGCCCCTTTCACTTCGGGAGGCACTATCTCAAAAGGCACTATTTGAAAGAGAAGAGAGTTTATCCCAGTATCCTGGCCAACAATTCCCCAGATAAGATTGGTCATTCACTTAATGGCTGTTCGTGGGACATTGCTGTAAGCAAATCAACTGCTACGTTCATCTACAAAACTGCACTACACTCTACAGGTAGTTCTGTGAAGTGCTTTGAAACATTTTGATAATGTGATAAGGTGCTCTTTCTACTGTAAGGATTATTATTAGTCACATTACGATGCAATGCACTGTACCTTTTATATAATAATATAATAATAATAATCCTTGCATTTGATATAGTGCTTTTCACGTCTTTGAGGTATCTTCATATATCTTCACAAAATATACTGTAAAGTGAATTGACTGTATATTTTGTGGGTGAATCGCGGCATATTCAAAGGCCTGAAATTCATCAGGTCATTTAAGACTGTTGACTTAAATAGTAATATCGCCTGGAATTCTGGACAGTAGTCCAAAATTGTGAAGCACTTTTACTCATCTCAATGACATGATAAGGCAGTATATCAAATGCAAGGATTATTATTATTATTATTATTATTATGGCTTAATTTTGAAGCCGATTTTTCCCAATATCGAAGCAGACCTGCGGAAAATCGGTTCCAAATTAAAAAGCAGTGTTGAGTCTTTGCCTTCTGAAAAACTATATTATCTTACAATTGGAAACGATGGTCTTAAGCTCAAGAATTAGTGAAATTTCAGGTCCTGAGTCTTTGATTGCTCAGAAGGCTGTGGGGATCAACTGTGCCTGTTGCCAAGAGGCTGGAGGTCAAAGCTAGTAGATTTAGAGATAGGTATATTGAAGGAAGGAAGACTGAAACCAAACAAACTCATACTCTCAAAGGGAAAGGCTGTGGACAACAATACTAGTGGGTGGGTTAGCCCAGTGGATAGCAAAACTGGCCACAATTACGGCTCCTGGTCCCTCCACAGTGCCCTCTACTGGTAATTGGCAGCCGGGTGGGGAGAGCTCAGGCTCGGCTGTGAAGCCCTCTACAGTCGATTATCCTAATGATACTCAACAGCAACAACAACTTGCGTTTATATAGCTTCTTTCACACTGGGTAGCGTCCCAGAGCACTTGTTTACTCATTGCCATGGTTTACGTGTGAACTATTTGTCTCTACTTTTGGAAGTGACTGAATCCTCCATTGCTTTGCTTTCTCACCCAGGAGTGCGGCTCGAGCCCTTGTCTTAATGGAGGAATCTGCCAGGATTTGGTGAACGGCTACAGATGTGTTTGCTCGGACGGCTATGCTGGTGGCAACTGCCAGGTGGATGTGAACGTCTGCCTTGACAGCGTCATGAACTACACCCATTGCCTCAATGGTGGGATGTGCGTAGATGGACCTGGGAGTAACTTTAGCTGCAGGTCAGTAGGTGGAAGCTGTGAATATTTTAGTTATTCTTACCTTACTGTCTACAAAAAGGAAATGCAATTAAGACCACGAGTAATAGTCCTGTGGATTCCTGTACTGTATTGGTTAGAGCACTGGCCTCGCAAGCGAGAGGACCCAAGTTCGATTCCCAGGCAGGGCGAAACACGTCTCTGTTTAGCTAGCAGTAACAACAACAACAACAAAAACAAAGATTGCCTTTATAGAGCGCCTTTCACGTCGGGAGGACGTCCCAAAGCGCTGGACAGTTGGGACGGGACCCGAGCAGGTGGGAAATGGTCAGGGTGAGGGGAGGGAAGGGAGGGAGCGAGGAGGGGGTAGAGAGTCGAGAAGGAAGCTGAAGGCACGGTCGAAGAGAAAGGTCTTGAGACCGGCCTTGAAGAAAGAAAGGGAGGAGGCGGCGAAGGCACTGGGGGATGGAGTTCTAAAGCCTCGGGGCTGAGAGGCTGAAGGCCCGGCCACCGATGGTAGGGCGGTTGGGGCGGCACCGGAGCCAGAGGAACGGAGGGTACGGGCAGGTAGGTAGGGGGATAGTAGGTCGGGGAGGTAGGAGGGAGCAAGGCCATGAATGGCCTTGTGGGTGAGGATGAGCAAGTAGTAACACTGCTGCTAGTCAATTGGTGAATCGCTTTCCGGGGTAATAATCTTTCAAAAATGAATAAATAAATAAAATAATGATAATTTTGTCACTCAATCCATGACTGTTTGTGGGACACTTCTGTGTGCAATTGGCTGCCACGTTTTGCCCACAAAATATAGTCAAATCACTTTACAATATATGCTGTGAATTGCTTTGAGACATCTCAATGATATGATAAGGTGCTGTATTAAATGCAAGGATTATTATTATTTTGAAAAAAAATGTGGTCCAGACAGGTGAAATGAGAAACTATCAGAGTACTGTCAATTAAAATGAAAATACAACGATGGTACCATGCATTTACGTAGCACCTTTCAGTCAGGACAGAGTCCTGGAACGCTGCCCAGTTGCAGGGTTGGACACAGAGCAAGGCAAAAGGGGAAGGTGACATGTTGGAGCTGAGTGTTAGTAGATTTAAAGCTAGATACATTGAAGGAATTGGGTAGGAAAACAGGAGACAGAGTAACTCATACTCAAAAGTGAAAGACAACAATACTCGTACCGGGGCTCTGTGTTAGTACAGTGGGAAAGTAACACAATGCCCTCTACTGTTTTTGCACGTGAGTAGCAGCTGGGTGGGTAGAGGTAAGGTTCAGCTGTGACAACCTCCACAATCGAGTGTCCTGTCAATACTCACTTCCATGGGGAGGGAAGGGGTATCGGAGGGCAATGAGTGGGTGTAAAGAGAGGCACATGCCTGTGTGCTGAAAACGAGAAACAACATTTGGACACCAGAAAACGATGTATAAGATAGCAATATGATTGATTAAGGTTTATGTCGGACTTTAGTCCTCAGGTGTGATTTGAAAATGGGCAAAGAGGGGACAAGATGGAGGGATTGAGGCAGAGGGTTCCTGAGATTCCTCACATAGTGGTTGAAAGCATGGCTACGAATTGTGGAGCGGAGGTGATGGGGGGAAGGTACATCAGACCTGAGCCAGCTTAAGCGTAGGCAGTGGATAGAAGGGTGGGGTGTAAGCAGATCAGAGAGGTAGGGAGGTGCCAGGGCATGAAGAGATTTGAAAGGGAAAGCGAGGATCTCGAAATCAATCCATTCATAAAGTCAGACATAAATCAGACTTAATCACTCATATTGTTATTTTTTAAAAAATTCTGGTGTCCAATTTTTGGTGCCTTTACAGACTCTGATTGCCCTCCGATGCCCCTTCCCTCCCCCCTCCATCTCATTGTTCACGTGTAAACCATGGCAGTGACTATCAGCAGGACATTCGACTGAAGAATATGCACCTTCAACAGGGCAGCACACCCCTAGCATTGCATTTGAGCTTCAGCCTAGACTATGAGCACTAAACTCCATACCCCCATCACTCCAGTTCTAGCCAGGCTCCACTGATTCCCTATCAATGAACGGATCAACTTCAAGATCCCCTCACTCGTCTTCAAATCCCTTCATGCCCTGACACCTCCCTACCCCTGTTAGAAAATAAAATCAGCCATAATCCGCTTGCAACCAGATATCAGACTGTTTTATTATTATTCATTCGTTATTCCCCAATATCCCGATGGGTCAGACCAAAGGCCGGTACAATCAACAGACCTTATAACAGAATAATACCACCGTAGATATTATACAAAAAGTGTATATTCTAACAGTCCCCACCTAGATACCGAATGAACATGAGGTATCACAAAACTACAAAAAGAAAGATAATACAAAGTCAGAAAAATAATATAAGGTTACACAACCTGATAGTACAAAAAGACAGATAATACAAAGTCAGAAAAATAGTACAAGGTCACACAACCTGGGAGGGAGGATGGTACTTCCAGGAGGCAAACTCTCTTAATGAGCTTTCTCTCGAGTTTCACAGCTCAGTCGTAACCAACAAGTTATTTCCAGCGACCACAGTCACAATTGAAATACAACATATTCAATTACTATCGGTCCCAGTCCCTCTCCTTACCCGGAGGTAATTGGGGAGTTCCCACTGACTGTTCGAACGCCCGGAAGTTACTCCATCACTTACGCAATTTTCACATCGACACACAATATATATAAAGATATTCGAATGTCGTTCACATGCACATCAGCACACTTAAATGTCTGGTGAGAGGCTTGGTTGTACCTCCCTTGTCTCTTTACTGGGGAATCCTGCCGACTACGCCAAATCTGTTAGAAAATAAAATCAGCCATAATCCGTTTGCAACCAGATATTAGACTGTTTTATTTTTATTCGTTCGTTATTCCCCAATATCCCGATGGGTCAGACCAAAGGCCGGTACAATCAACAGACCTTATAACAGAATAATACCACCGTAGATATTATACAAAGAGTGTATATTCTAACACCCCCCTAACCCACAACCTGACGCCTCTGCTCGACTTGCTCTCCGTTCTACTCTCAGTGCCGTGCCTTCAGCCAACATGCCTCCAAAACTCCGGAACGTTCTCCCTCTATCCCTCCGCCTTGCCCCCTTCTTCCCCGTCTTCAGGTCGCGCCAGAAGACCTTCCCCTTCGCCTGTGCCTGGGGTCACCTCACCCAGCTCGGTGTCGTGCTCACTGTCAAGCGCTCTGGGATGCTTACCTGTGTGAGGAGTGCTGTATAAATGCAAGCTGTTGTTGCTGTTGAGTTCGGATTCCTGACGTGAGGCTTGAAATTCACAATCTTGTAATCCATTGCACCACTAAGTCCCCTTATTGCCTTGGTTAACAAGACGTCCATTAGTTGGCTATGCTGCATCTCCAACATTGTACTTAGAGTGATAGTCATATTCCTTTTCTCATTTGAAGAATCACTGTGTAACCTCGAGGCAAATCCCGTTATTTGTCTTTTCTATCACTGGATGTTTTATTGGGCTGAATCTCCAAATTGGTTTGTCAGCCACATGCTTTGTGTCATTTGTTACATTATTGATTCCGCGCTGACTTTATAGAGTTTCAATTTTTGTTCCCCACCAACCGCTAACTCGACAGAGAAAGCAAAAGGCTTTTGGCAGGTTCTTCAGTGTAGCTGGCGAGATCATTGCTGTTTCTGAATATAATTTTCTCTTAGGGACAACAGAATCAGTTTCAAATTGTATTTCTCGCAATCATTTTAACCTCTGATATTGCTCACGGTTGATTAGGGGAAAAAATACACTGAACGGCCTCGTAAGATGTGGCTTTACAGCAGTGATTCCCCTAGTCAGCATTCTGATCTGAAGTGATCTCTTGGGAAAGGGAAGACAAGGCAGGAAGAATCCATAGCGGCAAGTAGCAGCTACCCATTAAAGGAAGGACAGAGTTTGTTTTGTTTCTATTGAATATTGTGACAGAATCTCAACCCCAAACATCTGGAACGTTGGAGTCCTGTAGCTTATTGCTTAGATGGCTTGCCTCGCAAGCGAGAGGTCCCGGGTTCGATTCCCGGGTGGGGCAAAACCTTAGGCAAGCTTCCTTACTCCACAACCTCTGTTTATCTGGCAGCAAGTAGGAACCCGGTTGTCAGTCGATTGGCAGATTGCTTTTCCGGGGGTAATAATCTCTTAAAAAAAATTGTTCACTTGTTCACACACAACTGTTTGCGGGACACTGCTGTGTGCAATTGGCTGCCACGAGGCGACAAAATAACAGGTCTACATTCACCTACAAAGTACAATCATTGCACTTCACAGTAACATTCTGTATTGTCATGTGCTATGTCATTATTAATTATTATTATTGTTATTGTGGCCTTTGAACTCTAGGGTTGGGGGTGTGGGGCTGGGGAGGAAGAGGATCAAGTGATAATGGCAAGCATCCTATCTGGATTTTACAAAATAGTTTATTTCAAGATAAAATTTCTATTGATGGGTTTAAATTAACTAATATTCAGTCCAATTTCTGAACCCAATTCCAGTGTAACCAGACATGTCCTCAGACCCAGTTTGATAGACACCACTAAGACTCTTCACACACATTTATGTTGTTAATGCAAGTTGTGGTGATATTTCTTCATGAAGTCCTTGAGTTCTAATGTGAGTGGCGGAGGAAGTTTGCAAAGTATTAATTGCAGAATAGGACTGTACAAAGTTGTGTTAGAAATATCATAATTTTCATACTGCAGATCATATGCCATAAATACTGATTAAGAACAGAAATATAACTAATGGGTTTGCAAGATGAAAACTATAATAATAATAATCCTTGCATTTGATATAATAATAATAATATAATAATCCTTGCATTTGATATAGCGCTTTTCACGTCTTCTAGACGTCTTAAAGCGCTTCACAGAATATACTGTAAAGTGAATTGACTGTATATTTATGGGAGAAATGCGGCAGCCAATTACGCACAGCAGTGTCCCACAAACAGTCGTGCATTGAAAATGACTGATTTATTATTGTTTTTT